CGAGTCACTTGCTTCGCTCTCCGAGGACGACAAAGGTGCAGGCCGGCAAGTCTCCATCAGCACTTTTTAAATTCTCGCCGGGATGTTACCCGTTGAAGTTAGCGAGCTGCAGCATGCGATAATGCGTGGGATAGGCTCGTCGCTGGCATCGTGCGTTCTGCGCTTCGCGCCGCTTGTTAGGATGAAATCCTTGCTGAAACGCGCCACGGCATAGTCCTCGATAGTCGCGCTGCCCGCTCCCGCCCTAACGGTATTGTTGATAGGCCCATACCAGTGGATGTCGACGTTCACCGGCGAGGCGTCTGCAGCTATGCTCAGCACCTCCCCCAGCACAAACGGAGCTTCCTCCGCCTTGAAGCATGCGATGTCGCCAACGCTGGGTGGTGTTAGCGACGTAGGACGCACTGGGTTTAAGGCCTTTCTCTTAGAGGGCCCTGACACCCCGTTCGCCCGAGAGGGTGTGTTGTCCACTCCGTCCGCGGTCGCGCCCGCAGAGGGAGGCAAAGGCGCTGGCGGGATCGCCGTGTGGAGCCATTCCATTGGGAGGTCGAAGTTGTTGATCGTTCCTCCGGAGCGCAACAACTTCAGCGAGTCGCTCTGCTCAGCCAATAGAGCGTCGACCACACCGTCAGGAGCTGCAGAGAAAGTGAGGTTCATGGAGTGACACGCAGGCGAGGGCGCGATGAGATGGCAGTATCAACGTCTGCAAGTACGTAGATGTTGTGGGTCATGAGGTCTCCGAGACGAGAACAAGTAAAATCGTAAGATACGTAGACCAAACATCCCGTGAAAATGACTCGTTGTTGTCCTCCGAGCGACCGTAGCTCCGAACGTGTTTTCTTCGTTGTCAGAATGGTTTAGCCAGGAAGGTAACGCCAATGTTACATTCGAAAGGTGTAACCACTCTCATGCTCTGTGAGGCCGAGCGAAGCACGACCATACTACACATGTGCACGCCCCTTACCTAGTGCGTAAGCAGCCTCTAGGCGGGGCCGCGTCGCGATGTAGCGCTTCTCGATGGGGGCGATCACGGTGGGGTCGACCGTCTTGAGCTCAAAAGGAGGCACGATGTCGAAAGTCGGCGCAGCGAACCGGAAGAGACGGTGTGGGTTGGCGTCGACCTGGGCCCCGCCGGTCGCTGTCAGACCAAGCCAGGCATCGCTGTGCATGAAGCGCTTGGCCCACACGGAAACCTCCCCTGCTACCTTACCCACTCGGAAGGCCCGAAACGTGGTGATGTTCCGGATCTTCCGAAGGTTGAGCTTGTTGTCGTCGAGGTAGACCCCCTTGAAGTTGCCGAGGTTGGTCAGAGTCCCTACGTGTACCGGAAGTTCCTTGTCCGACTCCCGGAATAGCTCACCAGGTTGACTCCTCGTAAAGATGCTTCGACCGAGGGTACCCACGGAGATTCTATAGGTTTGAGTAGGAGTCGTCAGGGCGAGGAGCTCAACCAGGACCACGAAGCAAGAAACACCCCAATAAGATATTGCGAGCAGGACCGCTCCACCACCATGGGAAACGAAGTTAGGTAGAGCNCGGCGAGTCGCATGAAGGGTGCGCTGCGTCCTGCTAAGGGTTTTCGGCATCTTGTGCTTACTTGCTTGCGTACGGATGACAGCTGCGTATGAATTAGTTTATTTTCTGGTGCTTTCACTTCCAGAAACAGTTGTAAGCACTGTGTAACTGCCTCGAGGGTGCTTGACCATTTTAACACAACGTGGTGCGGTCATCCCCCTTGCGCGGAGCGAGGGTTATCCACCCCGCACAACATGATCTACTCGACCACGATTCTGGTTACCGCAAAAAAAAAACCCGGAGGTATAAAAAAACAACGGTAACCTGGTTGCCGAGTTCACGAAGTGAATTGGCTTGCTTTACAACGTCGTTGCCAAGCGACGAAAACCCGACCCCGATAGCAATCACCGGGGTAAAAGTTTTTCTTGTATCGGGCATGGGTGGCTGTCTTGGATGTCAGACAAATACAGCGATACGCAAGAACCCACCGCAGGTGGCTTCATTAGACTCGAGGGCGAATGGCGGCTGCAACGTGGACGTGGGCTACCTTTTTGGGGGTTGTTTACAAGGTAACCCTCAATATCCCGTAAGGCCCCAAGAAATAAGAACTGCCCAAACAAGCTCAGCAACGAGGCTTGGGCTTCGGCCGACAATAGGAAACTGAGGCTCGCCCCATATCTTACTTGCGGGCGCGTTCTGTAATGTAAATCTTGGGTTTCATGGGGGGAACGATATTGAATGCTGAAAAACCGGGGGGTACGGCCAGAAAGCGATCCTCCACCGGGGGGGGGGGCAGCAGGGTGGTCAAACAAGGGGCTCCGATGTTACAAGGGTACTCACCGAGAAAACACTTGGTCGATTTCGATGTGCGTGTGTCCAACGATCAGGAAGCAGCAGACCTCTGCAGAACCGATCACCCTGGCGGCGACCAATCCGCCAATGAAGGCCAGGACGATGTTGTTCTTGTTTTCGCCGACGCAGTTATCGAGCTGAAGGTGGAGACGCTTGATGTAGAACCTCTGGCCAGGCTTGGTCCACATTGCAGACAGTCGTTTGAGGGCCAACCACAGCGCCGTGCACACCAGGTTGCTCCCTGGAAGACCAGACAAAGACGAACACATGAAATATGAACGGACGGTTCAGGGGAATTATGGTCCCCACCAAGCCTGTATCGTTAGTGAAATAACCTACTGTTTCGTTAGTGATTCATCTGTGCACAATGGCTGGCTCAGGGACCTTGTGCGGTTCCGCCTGACACGTCTTTTTGGCACTGACAGCTAGGTTGCACATATTCACGGCTCCCTTGGAATTTCAAAGTGGCCCATCGGGTACCAGCTGTGTACTTGAGGCCTTCCTGCGACACCCTCACATGAGGTAACTGCCAGAAGGGGTGCCTTGATGCAGGTTTAAAGCCTCTCACCTCCACCTGTTGTCTGCGGGACGAAATGGACGTCCACGAACGCCCCTTCTGCCTGGACGGCCATGACCTTCTGCCGCTCCGAAAAGCCGCTGAAGTCGTGAACGCGAACGGTTGTGCAGGAAGGCGATGATAAGATTGCAGTAGTCGTCACAATAAACAAGGTCCCGTATTCCCTATCCAGTACCTCCTTCTGTCACAATCTCTCTGCCATAATCCAGCATTGTTCGCGGTCAATTCCCGTGGTCACAGGCTAACGTGCATCAAAAGAGGTATCAGCTACAAGTATACGTCGTACTAAAACATAATGAACCCGAAAGCTCAGCACAGGGATAAAATAAGATAAAAGAACAAGAAGATGAAATAAAGAGCAAGTTTGGAGTCGTCCAACCTCCTCTACACGCGGTGAGGTGAAAATTAAAGGGAAAATAACTGGAACCCGTCAACATCATCAAAGTATGTCGACATATAGATGGATAACAACTCACTCAACAGATGGTGAGATGTTGGAGATGGGGTGGACTATACGGTAGACGTTTATCGACCCATTTTGATTGAGCTTACACGAATCGTGACACCGTTGCATTGGACCAAAATAACTTGTCAATGGCTGTCATTCCATCTGAACCGCAGCGTGCCACTACGAACTAAGGTACTGTTCTCGTGTCACGTACTTGTTTTGCCAAGAGACGAACGGAGTACAATCACGAGGGAACCAGATCACTTGCCTCTCAGACACGTGAGTTTGAGGGTGTACGGTCCCTAACGCGTAGCGATTCTGGCAGGCACAGTCTTGTTGAATGGTCACTTGGTTTAGCGGGGTTCCGTTCGCCTGCTCTCGTCTGGCGGCCTCCATGCGTGACGTCAGGAGTTCTCTGTCCTTCGACACGATCTGCGTCGACGAACGTCGAGGATAAGGCACGTTCATGTAGCCGTCGTGCGGCTTTATGTTGGAAGAGTATCACAAACAATCCATTCCTACACGAACAGGGGAGAGACCACGACACAGAATTCGCGTGACTCCGTAAGATTAACGTGGAANCATGAACGACGCCAAACACATCAACACCATGACCATGGGTTGCTCATCAAACGTAACCAGGAGGGGGGCATTCACGCGGGACAGGAATCAAAATCGGGGCAACCGACAACTGTAGGGCAACAAACTATTACGGGAAAGTGCCGACAGGCGCGTGTGTGCTTGTTTTGTGGCCGCCTGGTGTCCCTGCCGAACTTACATGGTGGTGTTCCTTTTGGTGACGAACAATCTCCGCCCTCTGCCGGGTGTCTTGGATCGGTCTGATGCCGGGGGCACCGTGCAGTTTCTCGTTGATTTCTGTGCAGTCGCTACATTTCATGAAATCCCCAAACCTCGCTATAGTAGCTTGATCAACGGTCTCTCTTCTCGCCATATCTGATTGAAGTACGGCCTGCTGAATCCTGAGTCGACCTCTCCGTGCACATGGCGTGTGTGCTCCGCAAAACGGGCGTACATCTCCTGCAGAAAGG